TGGAGTGTCCGTGGCCTATAACAGTTGTTGCCGTGGTTTAAAAATTTCGGGATGTAGTGCTGGTCGAAAGAGCGGACAAGAGGTTGCCGTAGCGTTTCTGCTGTTTGTGTGTGGAAACAAAGAGAAAAAATAAACGTTTTTTTAGTTGTTGTTGTTTCGTGACGTATGAAGTTAAAAATAAGCAGTGTTTCTGTGATTTCTTGATTGTTCTAGCAGGCTTCCTTTTTTTTTTTTTTTTTTTTTTTTTTTTTTTTTTTGAGAGGAAGAGTTTGCAGGTTTTCTGCTTTTGAAACCATTTCCATCTCTTATTTCTTTTTCCTTTCAAATCTATTTCTGGGTTTATTTGTTTCTTGAATTTTATAGCTCTTTCGTTTCTTGATTGATTTTTCTCTTGCGTCGATCCTTTTTTCTCTCTTAAATTCTTTTTGTTTGTACTTTGAGAGACAAGGTTGACCTATGTTTCTGCTTTTGAAACAATTTATTTTTATTGTTTCTTGTTTTATATGTTTATCCTTTTCAAAACAATTTCTGGGTTGTCTGTTTCTTGAATTGTATAGCTCTTTCATTTCTGGATTCCCGTGCCTTACAGTTTTCCTGGTTTAAAAATTCGGATTAGTGCTTCGAAAGAGCGACAAGAGTTGCCTACGTTTCTGCTTTTTTTGAAAACAAAGAAAAATAACTTTTAGTTTGTTGTTCGTACTATAAATTAAAAATAACAGTTTTCTTGATTCTTGATTCTACAGCTTCCAGGACGAACAGACAATGAAATCAAGAATTATTGGAATACACGAGTCAAAAGACATCAACGCCAAGGCCTTCCTCTTTATCCAGCTGATATCCAACCTCAACAACTGCCTAGTTCTCACTTCTACCACCACCCCCTCCACCACAATTCACAATCAATTTCTATCACCCAAGCCACTCCTATCTCCTCCTTCAGTTTCCCAACTCATCATCTTCCAGCCCAAAACACCGCCACCACTCCTACCTCCACTACCCCTCCTCCTCTCTCCCCTGGCACCACTTCTACTAGTTTTCCTACCCTTCCACTTTCTGACTTCTCTCAATCCCAACCTCAACACCCTCACCACCTCCAATACAACCCTCACCACCACCACTCATCTCACTCCTCACCCTCCACTCCAACTTCTTTTTCTTTCCAAACTCAATTACCATCCCCTACACATCCACATACACCATATACTAATGCATCTTCTAGTCCATTATCATCTCCCACTACCACTGCTTTGCCACTTTTTGACTTCACCATCGCAAGAACACCTCCGATCCTCCAGGCACCAATGCGTTTTAAACGTTTCTCTTCCACCCCTAACTTTGCCTCGCTTGTCAACAACAACCCACCTTCTACATCCAGTGTTAGCCCAGATTCTCACTTCTCATTACCTACTTCAGCTTCTAACACTCCTCCTTTGAGTCACCAGATCCCTTCTTGCTTTTCTAGCTTCCTTAACAGCAGTTACAGCACCAGTGACTTTCATGCAGAGTTACAGAAGGAAAATCAAGAAATGTGTTCGCTTTTGGCTGCTGTGACTCAGCCGGAGCTCCCTTCAAGCCAATTTGTATCAACAGCTAACCGGATTGGTATTCCTAGTGTTAGTAAGTTTAGTAAAAGAGCTACTAAGAAGAAATTTGGTAATTCTGTTAAAGATAAGGTTAATGGAAAACTTGGGTTTGCATTGGAAGATCTTTTGAAAGAGGCTAAGGTATTGACAGAATGTGGACAGACTTACATAGATCAGAGCAGTTTGATTTTGCAGGAAGAGAAGCCTAAGCTGCTCATGACCGACGGATTCGGCTCATATTGGGATCAACCCGATTCTCTTGCTTTATCTCCAGGTTAGTTTTTTGGCCATTGAAAATTTTTTTGTTTTGTGTGTGAAATTGATGTACTTGTTCTGCTTTGACTAGTGTTGTTAGTGAAACTGATGACCATTAACCATTGACCTTGGATTTATTCAGATTGGATAATTAAAACAATGTTTTTCTTTCCATTGATGCATACAGGAATGGATCAGAAGGTTGAGGATGGAGGTCAACTCAACATGATGCCTGAAGACTTCATCAAGGTTTTGAACGACCTTCCTTCTTCTACGCAGCCTGAGTTATACAGTGATAGAGCAGATATCTCCAACGGGCAATCTTCCGTTATAACGGATGATAATATTGGGTTTGAGATGCAGATGGCGTCATTGTTTCCTCCAGCAGACCATGGCAGGACCCTCGGCTCTTGTTCTTGGGACAACTTGCCAGGAATTTGCTAAGATGATTGCCACTTTTGAGAGAAGAAACCAGGGAATGGCTTGGTGTATTTTTATTTTTGATTTATTATTATTATTTTTTTTTTTGTATTGAACTTGAATGGGGTTTGTTCTAGCAATGATGCTTATTTTTTAAGTATCTGCTATTTGATCTTCTACTAAGCTTTTTAAACTTAATATCTAACTATAAACATACAAAATAACGACTAAATACCATCACTGAACATTATGTTCATTTATCTTTTATTGTCAAAAGAAATCTTTCATGTTTCATTTTTGCTTGTCAATAGAAGAGGATATACTCTCAGGCTGTCACTAATTGTGCACTTAGGACCTGTTTGGTTCACTCTTAAATAGTAATAGAAATGAAAACTTAATTTGCTCAACCAGTGGATTCATATAAGAAGGAACCGCATACATGGCATAAGATTAAAAAGCAGTCATACATACAGAATTTTAAAGAGCAGCATTTTGGAGTTTTACGCATTTTCTATCCATGGTTAGAGCAGAAAGCCAAGAATTTACATCTATTCATTGCTGTCTTGAACTTTTTAAGAGCTTCCATGATCATAGCTTCACTGTACCTTCATTGATAATCCAAATGTGTTCTCGCCGCTATAGGTCATATACAGGAAACCATCCTCATCTTTGTTTTCTTCATAAATTGCTGACATCATGGCAGCTGTGGTAATTGAAATCATAGATAAGTCAACTAGTGGAATAAATAAAGTAATAATATTGTTACATAATAAGCAAATAAGATAAATGAAACAATAAATAGATTCTTCTCACCGGTGGGTGGCAAAACATTCCTGACAAAGATGAATATAGCCTTCTCAGCGCTGAGCTTTATTCTCTTTCGAACCACATAAACAAACTGGCCAACAGTCAGATCAGCTGGAACAAGGTATCTGCATCCAATATGACTTCAAAATAAAGCCACGAAATGCCAAAGAAAATGTAGTTGACATGCAAAAATAATTATGTGAACTTCTATTGGAAAGAAAACATTTCAAAGCTTTCCTTATAGACATACACAGGTAATGCCAGATAAGTGCTCAAAAACAGGTGCTTACGGCTAAAGTGAAGAGACAAAGCAATAGAATTTTCTACAAAAGGAATTCATGGGATTAACTAGCTTCTTTTATAACAAGCCTACTTATTATAGAGGAATTGCAATACGTCATAAAGCAAACATAAACAAATAATACATATCACAACCCAGGTATCGTGCGAAAACGAAGCGTCAAAGAGAGGAATTGCAAAATGTCATAAAGCAAACCCAGAGATCAACATAAACAAATAGTAAATATCACAACCCAGGTATCATGCAAAAACGAAGGGTCAAAGCGAAGTAAATGTAAAACAAATGGCAGACAAAGGCTGTTGAAAGAAGCAAACTTCAGAGCATGAGGCAACATCTAAATCCATACAGCAGTAAAGACTTTCCAATGATTAAAAAAATGTGCCAACTAAAATATACAAAAAATATCATAGAAGCAAAAGAATGCAGATATTACTAACTTCTTTTTGTCGATGTCAGGTATGTCACTTCTTTCAGCCCTCTCCACAATAACCTATGTAGCATTAAAAATTTGCAAAAAGCATGAGTAAAGCACCTGTGATGTCATCTAACAAAAAATAGACTACATTATTGATGAACAAAACATGAGTTGCATACTGGTATTCTATCAGGATACTTCTCCCTAATACGGGCAGATTCTGCCTGCCTTCTTTCTGGAATGTATTTAAGATGACACAAAGAATAAAACATGGTCAGCCACATAAAATATGTAAGTAAAGAGGGAAAGAGTATTATACTTAAAGCAAAATATGGTGTAGGTTATTGGGTAATTTCTTTTATTTAGAGAAAATTCTGCAGTCTCCAAAAAAAGCTTCTGTGCTAGGTATCATGTATAGTGAGTGATGGGGCTTACTTCAATGATGGAGACTTCTTATGCAAAAAGTAATATTGCCCACAAATAAATAAATAAATAAATAGAAGAGGCATCAGCATTACTTTACACTCTAATTCTCTTAGAAAAACGGTTGAAACCTGAATCATTAAGTCCAGTGGAATGGGACCATATTTAAATATGGAACATAATACTGCAAGGGTAGGCTTCTTTTAGTGTCAAAATGCATTAAAAAAAATGGGGGTTATCCATTATGAAGTGCCATAAAAAGACAACTACAGTGCCATGATGTCCCAGAGAAACACTAAAAACAAAGAACTTCAGTACTTTAAGTTCACTATCTAATTATACTTTAGACATTTCACATTTGTATATATCATATCTTTGGTCAAATATTCAATTCTGCATTGCAAATTGCTAATAATACGCATTTCGAAATGAATGAAAATAACACACATGCAGTTGACCTTTTAAAGCAGTACACAAAGGTTACCACATGACTACTTCGAAGATGTTAAAGCAAGTGCATATGACTCCCAAGAATCGATAGCAATCTCATCTCCCAAACTAACAAATTCTAAATATAACCTTCTCACCAGATTGAACCTGTTTCCTAAAGTAATACACAACATATCTTCCCTCAATTATCTCAGAGGGAATTTCCTAGAAAAGTTAGGAAAAGGACCCTCACAAAAAAAAAAAAAAAAAAAAAAAAGATGTGTAAAGCAAGTGCAGTATGACTCCCAAGAATCGAGTAGCAATCGTCATCTTCCCAAACTGAACAAATGTCTTAAATATAACCTGTCTCACCAGATTGAAAACCTGTTTCCTAAAGGTAATTACACGTTTCTCGTTCGCCTCATTATTCGTCAGAGGGAAGTTTCCTAGAAAAGGTTGAGGAAAAGGACCGCTCACAAAGAAAAAAAAAAAAAAAAAAAAAATCGTTGCGGCGTCAAACTAGGTGTAAGAACAGTCTTTCATCAAACCAACAAGTGCTTTAAGTCCTAGAGATTCAAGCCCACCGTTTGATAAATTGTTCGTCTCGTGTTTAATTGTGCCATTAAGAACTAAAAAAAAAAAAAAAAAAAAAAAATCTTGCGCTCAAACTAGTAAAACATCTTCCATCAAACCAACAATCTTTATCCTAGATCAAGCCACCGTTTGATAAATTGTTCTCTCTTTTAATGTCATTAAACTGAAAAAATACATCAATTACCAGATCAAAGCACACCCCACTTAAAAATATCAAAAAACTTCAAAAGCCCTTATTGCATGCTATCAGAGACCCGTCAAGGTCAACTATTTTACTATCATGTTAACTAGAAGATCAAAACACAATTGGTAGTGAAACAGTAACAAAACCATAACATGACATGTTATTGATCTAAAAAGGCAACCTTTGTCAAAACCAACAAAAACCCAGATCACATAATCCATAATTAAATACAAACGAAATCCAAAGATAAAGAGAAAAGATCAATCAACAATTATAAACAGAAATAGAGAGATGTTTTGACATAAATACTAAAAAGAGAAAGATAGAGAAAGAACCCAAAGGATGTTCAAACTTGAAGGAGCTGTTGGCCATGGCTTGATGTTTGTCTTCCGTGAAAGAAATTCTTTTTCTTCTTAAATAAGGTTGGGATTTGCGATTCCAGAGATTTAAATAAAATCAAAAAATTTAATGAGCGAAAATAAAAGAGAATTTGTTTTATATAAAAACTAGGCTTTAATTTTACGTTTTTTCGGGAAACGACGTTGTTTCATCATCTTTTTAGTTGTATGGAATTTTCCTTTTTTCAAAAGGGTTTCTCTTTATTCTTCTAAATATAAAATAAGAGGGAGAACTATTGAATGGGGTGAGCAAAATCACCGATAGAACCGACTCATTTCGGTTTGATTCGATCACATACCCAAGAGAGGTTCAATTGATCGGTTCGTTCTGTTTGAACCAAATTTGTTGTTCTATTTAATTCGGTCACACAAAAATTTGATGGTTGAATTCAGAACCAAACCGAAATTGTATAAACCGACAAAAATAAACCGAACTGACTGATTCGATTTGATTCAATTCATATACAAAGTTTGATCCGATTCGATTTGTTGTAAAGAAATTTTAATTTATATTTTGTGGCTTCAATTCGGTTTAAACCAAACCAACCGTTTGCTCGGTACTACAGTATTGATAATTCGATGTACATATTGAATTACTTTTTATTTTTTTTATTTTTTACCTTGCGAGATAATATCATGACTACATAAGAGAACCTGCTCGTAACCCATCTTCTTTTTTTAATTAAATCTATATCTTTTTAATAAATCTCAATCCATTCTAATGCATGTTGGTGGTAAAACACACACACACACACACACACACATCTGTTAATGAAAATCTCAAGCATGTTCGTGAAGTGCGATGTTCGGTGGTAAAAAACAGCACACGACACACACACACCCACACAGTATATAGTATATATTATTATAGTATATATAGTATATGTGATAGTATATAGTAATATATATAGTATATAGTATAATAGTATCAATGGTTTATAATGTTTCGACCGTATTTTACGTTCTATCAGATTCACGTGTCCGTGTAATGTCGTGTTTTTAGGGTTGGTCATTTTGCATGTACCAGCTCCACAGTTAATGCGTGTAGTTTTCTTAAATGTCAATCATGTTAAGCGGGTGGTTAGTTGTTGAGAAATGTAAGAAAAATATATTTATTTTAAAAAAAACTGACGTTATTGCCCTCTAATTTAGAGTGATGTTAAAACAAAAGTCCAAATTGAGTTGATGTAATTGGTTTAATTGTGACAATGTTTATAATTTCACCGTATTTTTACTTTTCTATCAATTTCACTCCTTTAATTACTTTTTTAGGGTTGTCATTTTGCATTACCAGCTCCACATTAATCTTATTCTAAATTCCAATCATTTAAGCGGTGTTATTTTGAGAAATTAAAAAATATATTTATTTTAAAAAACTATCGTTATTGCCCTCTAATTTAGATATTTAAACAAATCAAATTGATTGATTAATTGGTTTAATTTGATTATTCAATTAAATTATATTATATATATTTACTAATTAGCAATTGTTTTCAGTTTTACTTATCTTTGCAGATAGAACATTTTTTTTAAGAGAATGCATTCAAATTAAACGAAATGCGGTTTAAAGTTTATACTAATATAAAATTATTATAAAATACTATATTTAGCACTTTTGTATCAAATATTTATTATAATAATAATAATTTGACAAAACATACAATAATTAAGGACACTGTTAATTAGATACTTTTAATTAAGAAATAGTTATTTTACCCAAAACCCTCTCAAATATTTGGGATAGTAAAATCTGATGCCACTTGATTTAGTCATCAACCACTAGAACCATATGAGAGAAATCACAAATATTTACAGCATCAAATTCAGTAATAGTAATATCCAAATCTTAAGAAAGGGCAGAGCATCATATCAAGTTCCAACAAGGGATTGCCCATGGTAACAACAGGAAGACAAGAATTTACATTTGTTCATTGTCTAGCCACATGAGTTTAAGCTTTGACTGCACTCAGAATGATTCTCCAAATGTATTCTCACCACTGTAGGTCATGTACAGGAAACCATCCTCATCTTTGTTTTCCTCGTAAATCGCTGACATCATAGCAGCTGGGATAACAGAAACCATAGATAAGTTGATCAATTCTGAAATGAAGACAATAATACTGCAAAAAACATAAATAAGACAATAAATTATATTCTTCTCACCAGTTGGTGGCAAAATATTTTTGACAAAGATGAATATAGCCTTCTCAGCGCTGAGCTTTATTCTCTTTCGAACCACATAAACGAACTGGCCGACTGTCAGATCAGCAGGAACCAGATATCTATATACAATATTATTTCAGAACAAATAATAATATTGAGTAAAATAAAGATGGGAGAATAATTTTATTAACTTGTATCTCTTACAAAATACAAGCACCTTCGCCGACAGTTTAGTGCATGGACACGAAAACACAAATGCATATGCATCTTCACAGTGTATGCTTGAAGCTAACAATGAATCAAATTCCTAAAAAGCTACCAGCATTCTCTCTTGAAGATAACCACATTCACACATGATGGACAATGACATTTAAAGAAGACATCAGAGTATTAATCTCGAGCCATGAAGCATATCCTACCATTGAAATGTTTAGTACACAAATTGATATTCAAATATCATCAAAACACATATCATCAGCAACGTACTCCAAAAATGGCCTAGTTTAATCAACTTCAAACTCACTCTACTTATAACACTTAACAACTAAAATGCTCTTGGTTTCCATAAATTCAATTCAGCTGACATTCATTCCACAAATCAGGGGTTTTTACTTAATAACTGAAAAGAGAAAAAACCTTCTTGGAAGCAAAATATGTAGAAAGGAGTAAATGAGTAGACCATAATGAGAAGCCAGCCAGGTAAGTGCATATGAAAGTTTCAAGAAAATCATTATCCAGTATGTGGTCAGTAAGTAAAAGAAAATTTTGTACCACATTAGAAAACTTCTTCCTCTGAAATGACAAAGAAATGCAGGTATACTTATCAACCAACGTTCCATTTTTAAAAAATTAAAGCAACAAAAAGAGATGTCACTAACTTCTTTTTGTCAATGTCAGGTATGTCGCTTCTTTCAGCCCTTTCCACAATAACCTGTGCATCATAAACAAAATGACAAAACATTATATACACAAGTACCTAGAGCCGCACAAATAGGCTAAATTAATGACAAAGAAGATATCATTTTCATACTGGTATTCTATCGGGATACTTCTCCCTAATTCGAGCTGATTCTGCCTGCCTCCTTTCTGGTATGTATATAAAGAGAAACAAAAACACAGTTAGACATTAAAGTAAGAAAAGAGAAAGTAAGTTGCAGAAACTAATATAAAGTTAAAGGCTTAAAACAACCTGGTGCAAGATATTGGTTAGGCTTGTAATAATTAATTAATTATAATAATTCAGCATTCTCCATAATAAGTGTACTAGTTGTTGCATATGAGATTTTACTCTCCTGATCAAACAGACTTAAGTTGCAACTAATTGTTTGAGGGACAAATATTAGTGGAGTAGGCAGAAATTGTTGTGCTTGAATTGTCACGGAATTCAGAATGGGAAAAGACCAGGAGGGTGAACAAAAAGGTAACATGGAAAGCAAGTTAAGTAACACGGTCAAAGTGGCTTGTTTGTGTACAAAATAAAACGTGTCCAGAAAATTTCTATGAAATGTATTGAGAGGGTAACTATTTTCTGTAATATCCTGTTATCAATATAAAGATTTTGATACTCCCTGTCACAATTTTATCAAAATGATTTAATAATCTGTAATTCAGTGTCATACGAGAGACATTTATATAATGATAGTAAATATCTCGCATCTTACACATAGGATCCACATTTCAAACTGAAAATTCCAAATTGAAATTTTTTAGGTTTGATAGCAAATTTTGTAAATCTAATGTTAACCATTACCACAATAATGAGCCTCTAACTATTTTAACAAACAAAATACATGTTCTTCAACTAAATGCAGGTGAAGATAAACTTCTAAGTGCTGATCTCAGATGTCAACTTCTGCATACACAAAATATAATTAAAACCCCCAAAAGCCACAAACGTTCCCTCTACAAGCTTAGCAGATAGACCACATATTTCTCAAGATCCCGTCCTTTATCCATTATCAAACCTCAAAGACATCAAATTTCCCAAACACCCAAAATTCCCAGTGATTCCAGTTAAATTGATGACAAGTCGGTGAAATTAATACCAGATAAAACCTTCACACAAAAATAAAACCACATTAAAACGATAACCCCCAGATCATAAAGTATATTTTGAAATTGTGATATTAACAAAATACATCCATTCATAAATCACATGTTATTGGTCATTAAGTCATTAGAAATTCTTTGTCAAAACCACTAAAACCCAGATCATAAAATCCACAATTAAAGAAAAAAAAAACCCCAAATTCACAAGAAATTCAAACGAGAGACATCAATTATCAATTAACGATTAAAAATACATAGATATTAATCATTAAATCATAATTTGTTTAAAAAACCAACAAAAACCCAGATCATAAAATCCATAATCATGAACGGACAAAGGACCCAACAATTGAAACGGAGAGATCAATCAAAATTACAAATACATAAACATATGTTTGTTTATACAAAAACCAAGAGAGGGATTAAGAGAGAACCCAAAGGATGTTCCAACTTGAAGGAGCTCTTTGCCATGGCTTCCAAGTACTTTTCTTGTGCGAATTAGCTAAAGCTCTATTCTTTAAGAGTCAGTGATCAAAAGGGTAATTTATATACGAGAATAAATTTATAATTAGGAATTGTTTGTTTTAAGAGATTTATCCAAACCAAAGCTAAAGAATCGAAGGGTATGATTGTGTAAAACCAAAAACGCGTATCATAACGTATGCTTTACTCTTGAGGGTTGGATTCGTTGTAAGTTGTAACGTGCAGGAATCAAAGTACTAGACCTCTGCCCAATCAGAGACTGACGCGTCAAAACGAAAAAAATGTAACAACAGTACAAAACAAGAGATGTTATTGGGTAATAGAAACGGCATCGTTCCTTTTAAAAAAAGATGGACATGGAAACTTTTCTGCCGACAGGTTAAAGTCCCCCCCCCCCAACAGGAAAACTTTTCCGTCTAACAAGAAAACTGCCAGTAGCAGGGAAAATTTTCCGTCCTTGAAATTTCTTGCTGGCTGGTGTTTCAATTGGATTCTGTTGCTGTTTTTCAATCGATGAGACAAAAAACAGGTGGATTTCTCTTACTTTTGTTTTATTATGAAAGATTGATTTCCATTTTGCAAGAGCTTAATCACAGCTATATTGTGTTTATTAAGTGATAAACGAATCAAGTGACTCATAATTTAATTAAAGACGTTGGTTTATAGTCGTATTTGACAATAGCATTTTAAATAATTTTCAGTATTTTGATCTAAACGCTACTTAAAAAACTCTGTTTAATAACATAGCGTTTGGATTAGCTTTTAGAAATTATGGTAATATTTTATAAAAAATTAAAACAATTAGCTTTTAGCGTTTTTATGAAAAGCTACTTAAACATCTAAATCAAAACGTTAAACGCTACTTAAAAAGTTATTAGGTACTTAGCGTTTGGATTAGTTTTTAGAGGTTATGGCAGCATTTAGCTTTTAGAAATTATAATAGCATTTTATAAAAGTTAACCCACGTAACATTTAATTTTTTAGAGATTTAATGTAAAGCTATTCAATCAGTTACCAGCTATCAAAAGACTTAATTTTACCGAACAGATCATATGTCTCACTTTTAATATCTGTTCAATATAATTAAATGTTTTAATAATTATTAATTATTTTAAAAGTATCTAATTGTTAGCTATTTTTATTATTTTTTCATAAATCACTAAAATTTAAACGGGTTAACGTCAACTGAAAAAGCTAGTTCGGACAGTGTATACCGAAGTCTTCGTAGTTAAGGTCGTTGCACTTTTCTAGAGCATGTGTGCCTTTAAACCTAATCTAAGGCATGGAAAAAGGAACTAAATGAGAGGCTATAAGAAAACTGCTCTCATAGACATGGTAGGTGAAATGGGCCACACTGCAACTCTCCATTCCTCACTAAGCAAAAGCAAACTCCTTACACTATCTATTAATTGGTGCTTTGTGTTAGGTACACACATCAACAGTATTTAGATACATTTGCACCAATTTTTTTCTCTCCAATTTCCAATATATTAAAAACAAATCATTTTGAGCATATTTAAAAAATAAGACAAAAAAAATATTTATTTTCATATATGGGAATATTTTTCTCATGTACTAAAATCCACTCAAATCTCAGTATATAGCACTATAAAAAGTACAAATCAACATGTATCAAGATGAACATATTAAATTAGGTTAACATCTAAGTTGTATTTCCTTCCACCTGTTTGGAAGAAACAGGAGGTTCAAACACACTAAAAGCTCTGTAAGCAGAGATCACAGCTAAAACAAAAAAGCAGCAAAGAACCAAGAAATGAAGAACCAATGCCAGTTTCATTTTATGGCAAAACTTCCCAAAGGAATTGCAGGCTTCACTCCATGTCACTTCTTGGTCACCATTATAAGCCAAGTATACTATTTCCATTAAAGCAGCCGCAGAAGTGACTGTTAAGTATGCCATAATCTGCTAAAAGAAATTCAAGAAAATGATCAGAGTTTATTTGGCTTTAAAGTGTCTTTCTTTTAAATATTAGGAATAAAGGGATTTCAAAGTAATACCTGGTCAGAGACAAAGAACAACCAAACTTTATTAACTAAGCTTCTGATCCATGTGCATGCAACAGCAGAAAATGCATAACAAGCGCCGATGGCACTTATGCAAACCATGTACCTGAATAAACAATTATTTTCCATTTACTTGAAAAATACAGAATAAAGAAAGGTTTAGGGCATCTCAAACAATAATACTAGAGAAAGATAAATAACTTACTTGAGTCCCATGAGATTACTGTACTTTAAATCCCCATAGCTGCTATTTTCTTGCTGATTAGTCACAATTAAACAAATGGATGCAACACTGAGAGGAATAACAGAAAACCTAAGAGAAGAATCCAAAAGCTTAAGCAATGGAGCCATTTTCTTGAACTGAAATGGGTATCCGTAGTAAATAGATATAGGCCAATTCTACTCTTCTTCTGGATTGACAAGAAGTGCAAGAAAGAAGGAGATATATATTGGAGGTTTCTTGGTGGGAAGAGTGGGAAGTAGTGGGGCTTGGCTTTTTGGCTTTTTCTTTGTCTTTTAGAAATCATGATATCATTTCTTTGGTATTTATCTTAGCAGGCTTGACATGATTGATTCCACATGGCTCTCTCTCAAAAAAAATATCCTCTTTATTCCACTTTTTAATGCATAAATCAGATTGAGTTCACATTCTTCCAGGGCAAAGGCTTTATCTGTGCTTACAACTTTGAGTTTGTCCCATCATAAATCAGGATCTTTTCCCCATCAATTGTTCTTGCTTGTATATTTCACCTCTCATGGTGATGAAAGCAAGAGCATTCTTTTGCAATTTCATTTTAATTTTTGTAGATATTGTATTTTACCAAAATTCTTGATAGAAAGGTATTTTATATTTTGAAGTGTGTTTGGTACACAATTTTATTAATTAAAATTTTTATTATTATAAAGTGATATTTGTAATTTTGAGTATTATCTATGTATAGTATAAAAATGAAAATCCTTGTCTATAATTCCTTTTTCTATTTTATAGATATTGATAAAATAGTTAATGGAAATCTTAGCATTATTTGCACACACAGTTTGAGAAGTTATTTGATTCATATAACATTTACTACTGATTTTGAAACCCAACCTTGGAAACCTTCAAGATAAAAGAAAGAAGAAAACAAGATTGAACATTTTATCAGATATTTGTCAGCAATCATGAAAAGAAAAGGTAATACTCCCAACAAAATTTCAAGATTCTTCTAATTTATGAAGTTAAAGGTAGCAGAAGAACTTCGGCACTTATTTAGGAGTTTCATTAGCCATGACAAACTTACAAAATGGCTTCTCCAAGCATATAAAGAATAAATAATTACAATCTCTAAATTTTGCTATTGGTGCTTGCTCCTTGCCTAAAATGGAGCAGAATCCCAGTAGCAATTACTTTCCCAAACCCATCTCTTTCATTTTACATTTTGACACGTAATGATCCCTCTATATCCAAATTTCTATTTGCTTCCTCCTGAGTTTGGAAGAATAGCTATTTATTAGAATTCTGCACTCCATAAAGCATTCTCACCTTCCCCACAACGCCGGTGAACCTCCTTGATTCTATCAACGGACTTGCAAATCCCACTGCAGCTCCAATCAAATGAAGCAACGCAGATGTTGCCTGCCTGGGCCTTCCACTCGCAATCTGCCATAAATTTTAGCACCACAAAACTTTAAGTAACAAATTTTCTTTGCATGAAATGAACTATTTCTTCCCCCAGTTTGATGCAAATTCATATATGCTACAAGAATAAATTGGTCAATGAACACAGAGCCATACATAAGGAGGCAACAACCCAAAAGACCTGGTATGGGTACAATGTATCATACAGATTTATTAGCGCCAGAGAAAATCCACAATTAAATGGATTGCATAGTCATCAAAAATTTTCAAGGGTTAAAAATAAATCAACCACCCACACAAGGACAAACATGTAGGGTTATAATGTATGAGATTACCAGGCGGTGTACCACAGCAGAGTCTCCGGTCATCAATATGATCCACATCCAATCCAATGAACCACGACCCCAATGATACATCCTCATTAGCATACTTGTGTAACACGTGTCTGGATGATTACAAATTCAACCAGAACAAATTAGCAGATGAACTTTAGGGACTAGCATTTGTCATTTATCCTCCAAAATACACAGATACTTACTGGTTAATTGATACATAAGTGGCCAAATCATTTGAAATAGCATATAGCTGCCCTGTAGCGTGACGGAAATACTTGTTTCCTTCTTCCCCAAATTTCCAATACTCAGGTTCATGGTATTTCACTCCCCTATTCATAAAGCAAACATGAAACTAAATGAATACTCCATTTTTTAAATAATTAATCAATTAAAGCATGTTTTACTTACTTTTGAGCAAGGACTGGACCGGACTTCATGCATCCTATATAGACCCTGGGTTTAGACCGATGCCTAGCTAAAGTTGCTCCCAGCGTAGCTGTAAAAATATGTTGGAGAAGCCCAAAGTAGAAACATGATGTTAGAAGTAGAAATTCTAGAAAACTGAAAAAGGAGCAGCCTTTCACTCTTAATACAAATGGTTACAAGAAGATACAGCAGTATCTCACATATAACTAAAATCATCAAAAATGTGAGTTATAGGCTCTAATTTCAATATGAAAATTTACTCTGCCTCTCGTTCATTGAAGGTTGATGAAAAACCATTTCCGGTAAGCAAATAAACATAGTACAGTCCTTTCTTTCTAATTAGCATTTTTTGTTCTCAAATCAAGAAAACATTTGAACATAAGTGAGCACACTTACATATGGGTATCCAGGTATACATAAAATTTTATATTTAATTTAAATAACTGGATGAATATTTACCTATATTTACATGCACATCATCATCAACTTTGACATAGAAATCTGCATCCCACAACGCAACAGCAGTAGAAAAGTATATCTTTGTCTTTGCAGACAATTCAAGGTAACCCTCAACATGCTCCTGCCCATATAGAATTCAAAATAATATACCATAAGTGAGCTGTTTTTCTTGATTTAATATGTTTTTTGGCCAAATACAAGATTTAACAGAAATGCCTCAAAAGAAAAAGGATCAGAAGCAGTACCAGCCTCAATAAGTCCCCATGCTTTTTGTCTTCTGCTTCAATAGCTCTGTCAAGGATACCTCCTGCTGTCGCACTGGCAATCAAACAGCAAAGGGCAAGGGAAAGATAAATTTAGATTGCATCTTTCAAGATTGTCCTCGATTTCAAAGGTCAGGAAGACCATGTGCATACTACTTTCAACATTGCAAGTAAATATGACTAAAGAAAGGCAACATAAGTATATGTGCTTATACAAGAAAATGCATCAATCACGGTGTAGGTAGAATGAAGAAAACACAACAGCTTTTTCTTTTTTTATCAGCAAAAAGATTAAATTTTTTATCAGAAAACATGACAACTTGATTGTTGTTATTGCTTCCCTTATATTGTCATACAAGTAATAAACAGCTAAATTAAAGAGTTACAGAAGCTATAAACATGTCCAGAAAGCATAGTAATGGGCTCACTTAGTGAAAAAAGAAACGATGCAAAAGTTTAATTTGTTCAGATATACTTTTTAATATCCACCATAAAATGTCCAAGTATGCTTGATGGACATTAGTTCCAATCACACACAACATGGGCTTAGACATCAAGATTCAATCTAACTGCAGTTTCTCCACTTGTAAATTTTGTTTAATTTATCATGTACAAGAACCATATTCAGGTTATCTTATCTTCTAGACATTTCTTATGCTTGATCATCTTTTCCCTGGTGCTATTGAAAGCCATGCATATGCTTATTACAAAGCCATTTTAATTCTTAGTGAGTTGGATTTTTAAGGTTAACAGAACCTCAATTCTTTTCAAAAAGAAAGTATGTCTCTCTGACTCTAAGTTGCGTGTTCCATTGGGTGATTTTTGCCTCACATCACATTGTTCATTTTTCCATTATTCTATTCACCAATATCCTGTTACTCTACTTTCTTCCATCTCTTTCCTTTGCATGTGCATCTCTGTGTAAAAATTCACATATCTTAATGTTTGTACATTTAAAGAATGGTCACTTTACTACAAAACCAAATCAGTCTTCTCACCTTCCACCCAGGTTGAATCATACAATTGTTTTATAAATTGCAAAATCTCACACTTAAATATGAGTGCAACATATACATTTTATCATTCTTCCAAAAAAAAAAAAAAAAAACATATATACCTTGTACCAAAGAAATTAACTTATTTGTCTAGATGAAGAAACCATTTGTATTCTAGACTTTATACTATGGAAGCATTTCTATAAAAGCCAATAAATGAATTCCCAGCAGCTAAAGTCAATTTCAGATTTGGATAAGGTGCCTACCTGTGACCTATTACAAAGCGAATTATGATGCCCTTCTCTTCCTCAAGCTTCTTTCTTTTATCACCTAGTTTTCATACAGGGAACAAGGAGAAAAATAATCAATTACATAAAATAAATTATCAAAATCATATTAAAAGACCATTGTGGTCACAAACCTTGGGGCATCCAAGTAGCACGAACAGAATCTCTTCGCTTTCGGCTGCTAAAAGCAGTATTTATACCTATAACCATTAAATACTTTCTTTTCCCATTTGATTGACTGATTTTTACGTTGTCTGATACTGGAGAACCATTAAGTATGGACTCCTGTGCAGCCCTCGCAGCAGCTAACTCCATCTCCAAATTTGATATTGTTTTATCCAGAGTTCTGTAGGAAGCAATCAAGGATTAACATCCACTACTTCCAGAGAAACTGAGACAGAAAGAAACCTAATACTAGCTTACTGTATAGCATGATGTGTCTTTGAAACTTCTCCCATTATGTCCTTGGATTCATGCTTTACATTCTTCTAATGACAAATAAAGTGCAACAGAATGTTAATAAGCAAGTAGGATATCAGCACATACAATTAAATAAAAAAGTGAAAAGATTATCACATAATTTAGATGGTTTACTCACAGTTTCTGGAGCACAACCCTCTGAAACTAGATTTAACTTTTCATCTTCAAGACTAGTTGCCCTTGATATTCCTTTAACTTCAGGCACAGTCCACATTCTATAACCAAAAGATAAAAATTAGCGTCAAATACACATGGAGAAAGACTCTAATGTCCCAAAAAAAAAAAAAAAAAAAAAAAAAAAAACGATAAAAGTTATATAAAATTAAAGCTGAACAAGATACAACACACATGGAAGAAGACTCTAATGGTCCCAAACAATCAAAAAAAAAAAAAAAAAAAAAGAAAAGAAAATAAAGGGAGAATAACAATCCTTTGTTGCAGTAGCCTGCAAAACATTCATAATGATAAAACCCTTTTTTTTTTGCAAGGTATTTCCAGAAAACACATGCAAGTGTTGTATGATTGAAGTCCTGGCAATTATATAATGGATGTTTAACTTGATACCTTACACCTAAAATCATAATAAGTTTCTATAATTATATTAATTCATATATTATACAATACCACCTATACTTTATAACTTAGAACATATATTAAAACACAAACCATGTAACGCAGCTCATTATTTATGACATGAAGTAAATACAGAAGAAACAAAAGAAAGGGTGTATCAGATACATGCATAAGAGACATGAAAGCTTCCAAAAACGGATATCAAAAAACAAGGAAATCTCCAGGTTTTGTATATATATTGTCAAGTGCCACTAATATATTTTAGTTCCAATCTACTGTGAGTACCTACAAAGGAATTATTTTTGGACCTAATTAGCTGCGAAAAGAAAAAACCCAGACCAAAGCCAGAGCAACTGCAACACATAAAGATCGCCACTTAAAGCCATCTGGTTGTACTGGACAGTAGAGTGTTACGGCTTTCTTTGCCCTGCTCACAGTCATTCTTTTCTTTTCTTACCACCCCAGAAACCTTACCAACAATGCCTAGCTATTAGCACAGGCACATATTATCCCCATCCCCCCCCCCCCCCCCCCCAACCAAAAATCCTTGAAAAAATGAAAAAAAAGGCATCCTTGGAATTCTCTTGAATCAATTCAATTTTCTTTTTTCTTTTTCTTAATCAGTAAATGTCTCAAGAAAACCCCTTACACAAAATCCATTCTGCCGTAAAATCTATTAGCACTCACTGTGCTATCAATTATGTATCTTCCCATCTCGGCCACGTCCACCTTTTGCACCATCTTCCGACCAGAGATAATGAGTGAAATAAAAACAAAAAAAAATACAGACAAAGTTCACACCCATAGAACACCACGCACAATGAGATAACGAGTATTAGGATGTTTATTCACTATGTGTTGCCGCGCATGGAAACCATATTCCTCTCTACTTTTACATAAGGCCACTATGTAGCGTAAGAGAAATTAATCCCGACTATGTATTTCTATAAAGTATGTCTATTTTGACAGAGAACACAAATTGCTTTTTTCTATTGTTCCCCCTATAATGTATAATAATTATAGAAGTAGAATACACCATGGCGCGATCAATGAGAAAAATAGCCAAATGCGTAATTTTTGAGCAGGGAGAGAACCAGCATTCATCATGCGCGCAATCTATCCCATCCGATAATTATTTAATAAAAAACATTCAGGAATGAGGTTGTTAGCGTATTTCAAATTTGATATTTTGCATAGGTATGTGGTTGCTAGGAAAGGCCTAAGCAAAATACCACTGGATTGTAAGAAAAATTCCATTAAACAAAAATGAGAGTTAAGAATAGGTATATAAACTCTTTGGAGGATAAAAGAAAGCGTGACTTACCTAGACCACATAGCCAACTGGATTAGTAAGGAAAGTTAGAGTGGCTTATCAGAGCAGAGAGAACTCACTTTAGGACACAATTAGTGGATGAGCCTCTTGATGGAGGCAGCAAGAAAGAGTGCTTATCTGAGAAATGATTTTAATTGAGAGAGACAAAATGAGTACCATTCAAATTCCCAAAGAATTGGAGGACCAATACAACTCCCATTTCCCTCATTCCATAAGAAATCATTACAATTATCTCGGCTGCCAAATACCCCAGGAAGAAAAATCTCCCCCTTCGACAGCTGCACCTAATTCTGCAACATGTATATGAATCTCCCTCAACAATTAGCTTAATCGAGTATTGAGTGGGCACACACAGGTACGCGAGAGCTTCCAATATCTCTATAATGATTATCCAATTAAAAAAATGGTATAGTGGGTCAATACTACAGGTTAAGTTCCTTTAATGGCGCTAATATCGGCAAGAACATGGCTTCATGAACTAACAAGAGCCTAATTAAGTATAAGCATGTTTGTAATGGCAAACTGAGCTTTCAAAGTATACAAGCAGAAAACTGCTAAATAAGGTTCCTCTCATGCTCTCACATCTTTTGAACAGAAAACAATGATTTGAGGCCTTGAAAGCCAAGAATAAGTCGATAGCTTAAAGGAAACAAGAAATTTGGCACTAGAATTCATTCCAGCACCATTTTTACAAGCAAGCAAAGAGGCATGACATATCATTGCTCTTAATTTGAAATGATAATAAGTAACGAGCACATAACATGAAAGTATGCAAAGACACGATCCTGTATCTGTCTTATGCGTGAGCGAACCGTGAGCGTTTAGTTGTGTACCGGTGAGGAGTTGTCTCGGTTAATTCAGACACTAGAGAGAATCAGAACTTCCTTAAGCTCACAATGAGATTTCAACATCGGAAAGTTAAATGAGTCTATAATCATGAGGTTCAAGATCTATCCTTTTCTAGCTAATCCAAAGTTTGACAACGTAGAATATACGTAACTAACAAGAGAAACGAAAAGATACGATCAACTTGACACATTGACCCAAAATCAAACAAAAAAGCAAATCCCCCTAGTATTTAATTATGAAGTAAAAAAATTAATCTCCATTTAAAGTTAAACTTGAAATATTGATTAAAAGAACCAATTCAAACCCCATAATTCCCCAATTGTCAATCAATAACTCAAAAAAATTCTTCTCCATTACATTTTTCTTGCATCTCAATAGAACTAGAAAAAGCAACGCCCCCATAACCAGAAAATAATGCTAAAATTAGAAAGAAAAAAGAAGAATTGAAATATTCCTTGAAAAAAAACGCTCATTTTTAAATTAATGCTAAACTACCAGCCCTTCCCCGAAAAATTTTCGGGAAAAGAAACAGAAAAGAGGCCAACAATTGAAACCCCAATTTCAAAAGCCTAAATCAAAAAGCTACAAATGACCCAAATCTACCTGTCCGAAAATAGCAATCCCAGCACAGATAGCCAACAAAAAAAAAAAAAAAAAAAAAAAACAACAAAAGCACAAAAGCACACGCACATGTACATATGGTTTAAGAGGTTTTGGAATGGACCTATTCCTCTAACTTACAATAAGACCAAAAATTTGGCTGTTCTAGAGAGTATTCAGAAAAATGTTAGTCTAAAGAATAAATGAGAGAAAAACAGGGACAAAAAAAAAGCCAATCGTTACATGGGGAGATCATCACCCATACACCATATGAAACATTCAGGAAGAGGTTAGTCATTTTTGCAAGAGTTTTGAAGGCCAACCACTGGATTGAGAAAATCCATAACAAATAATGTACTAAACCTGGAGGATTAGAAACAGTATCTTCTAGAAGCAAGCCAACTTGATTAGTAACTAAGTGGCTATCAACAGAATACTGCAAAGTTGCCCTGAACCAAAGAAGCTACAAATATTATTGATTCAAATAGTACCAAATACACTCCATTTCATTCCATACACTGCAATACCAGGCCTGACAGCAAACCTTATCTGCAAACTTAAATCCTTAACATTTGGTATGCAACAGTCGTGCTTTATCTGAAATGATTCCATTCAATGGTTAGTGGTTCACTAAGTTTTTAATGCTTATATCGGAACAGGCTTCTAACTCAAGAGCCTAATTGTATAGTTGTAATGGCAACTGAGCTTTCAGTATTACAGCAGAAACTGCTAATAAGGTTCCTCTCATGCTCTCAGCATCTGAACAGAAACAATGACTTTGAGGCCTTGAAAGCCAGATAAGTCGAAGCTAAAGGAACAAGAAAATTTGGCACTAGAATTCATTCCACACCATTTTTACAAAGCAAGCAAAGAGGCATGACATCATTTATTGAAATGATAATAACGAGCACATACATGAAAGTAGTGCAAAAGACACGAATCCTGACTCTTATCTGAGACCTTGGTACCTTAATTCAGACACTGAAGACAACTTCTAATCACAATGAGATTTCATCGGAATTAAATATATAATCATGAGGTTCAGATCTATCCTTTTCTAGCTATCAAAGTTGACAACGTAGAATCATAGTAACTACAAGAGAAACGAAAGATACGATCACTGACCATGACCCAATCAAACAAAAAGCAAATCCCCTATATTTATATGAAGTAAAAAAATTATCTCCATTAAAAGTTACTTGAAATATTGATTAAAAGACCAATTCAAACCCATATCCCAAATTGTCATCAATATCTCAAAGAAAATTCTTCTCATACATTTTCTTGCATCTCAAAGAACTAGCACGCCCCCATAACCAGAAAATAATGCTAAAATTAGAAAGAAAAAGAAGAATTGATTTCTTGAAAAAACGGCTCATTTCAAATTATCTAAACTAACCAGTCCCAATTTTCAAAGAAAAGAAAAGAGGCCAACAATTGAAAATTTCAAAGCCTAATCAAAAGCTACAAATGACCCAAATCACCTGTCCGAAAATAGCATCCCAGCACAGAAGCAACCAATACAAAACAGAAGAGTCCATTTCTTTGATACCACACTCTTTGAAGATGTATCTCCTCTGCTCTTCCAAGTCATTGTGGTCAAATTACACTTCGAGACAAATCACAAGCTAAAATGAACCACAACCCATTACAAATCCCGAGTCAATGCACTGAGTTGACTCCAACCCAGATCCAAAGCACCCTCCTTTACAACAAAATCTAACGCCAAAGAATTTCTCACAGCAAATTCGAAGTAATAGAAGATGAAAAAACAAAGAGAAACCAAAACTAAAAAAGAAAGCACCAAACTTTACAATCTATGAAGGCATAAAACAAGAACACACGTATCTAGATGTACATCGTGACTAAAGCTCTCTATCTAAAACATCTTTTTCTCACTAGAAATGCGATTTTATCACTTGGGTTTTGATTCAAGTCTGTATCTCTGTATCTGTCTCCCTCACAAAGTCTTAATTGGAGTAACAGAGACGGTGCAGTTTTGTGTGAAAAAGAAACATGTGCTAACAAGAAGTGTAGGTGTAAATAAATGGAAATATATAGGCTAATAGCAACTACTTCACCAACTTTAACAAGTCTTTCTAATTTAATGTTTATAAAATAGTAAGCCTACAGCCTACCAGTTTCTCTGCTGATATAATAACCACTTTGTTCTTCCAACAACAATACTCGAATGCTAATTTAATTTCAAGATTTAATGATGTTAGAATAAATGCTGAAAGATATAATACTGGACTCTGTCATTCCAAAAATATCAATCTGTGAAAGACTTAACCAAGTTGATTGATGCCCTCTTTCATTCTCTTGGGTCTACCATTCCAGTAAGTAAGGTTCTACTTACAAGAAATGGATTTTAATTTTTAACAATTTCTTCTCTTAAATTTTTTAATATTTATCCAAAAAATTTATTTATTGTAGTGCAAATATTGTTGTGAGATTAAGAAAATAAATATAAACCTCAATTAATAAAAAAAAGTAAAACTAAATAAATTAATCTTTATTATCTTTGATATTGGGAAGAGAATCTGTTATTTGTGAGATCGATTATAAAATATTCATTTTACATTTCTTTAATTTTAACAAAATTTTAGATATTTATTATTGTGTTTTCTCTTAATTAATTTTACATTTGATGAATTTATTTTCAAAAATAAATTTACACATGTTGTATTTAGATATGCAATTCTCTAGGTATGTCTTACAATTATGGGTAATGAGGTAAAGTGGGTTATGATTAATTTTCAACATTAAGTTAACATCAAAATTATACTATTAAATATTAATGAGTAACAAGCTCTAAGAAAGCAATTATTGAAAATTAATTTTGAAAAAATGGAATAGATCTAGAGTCTCATCAAGCAATTGCAAGACACATTTGGGCTCCAGGAGAATGATTAAGAAAGTTGACTTCTCATGGATATGACCTATTACCAATTTGATTTGATTTAAACTCAAAAAATTTTAATTTCGCCCCATAAAGAATGTATAATTACTGCTAATAAAGTATTGTTAACATTTAATTAATTATTACTAACGCCCTTTTACACTGGCTTAATGATTATAGGAATGCAAATTTCTTTTTACCTACTAGCATCAGCTGTTGATCGATTAATAAAAGTTTGAGAACTCGAACTTGAGATTTATTATTTTTTACGTGAGTAAGAAGATCAGCTAGACTGTCACTTGATTAATAATACTAATAATTAATTTGAACTTAGGTACAATAAGATTGCAATTTAAATGTAAATTTAAATCAGTTTATATAAGAATAAGATAAATAAAATACAAATAAATGTTATAGTTATTATATGGAATTAAAAATTAAAAAAGGAAAATGAAAGTACAGTTAGTTGATCTTAAACTTGCATTGGATCAAGAACACAAATTCTTTCAAATCATTACTCCATCCTATGTTAGTAAATAAAATAACAAGACATGAGCAAGCTTTTTGGAAAAGAAATTAATTATTAATAGTATTTATTAGGTAATTCCACATGTAATTTTGTTGTCCCACTTGCCTTTGTTTTGGCCTTCATTAGGGCAAATGCATAATTAAATTAATTAAACAACATTATAATTCTAAACAAACCCTAAAGAAGCAATTAGGGTTAAGAAAATATAAGCTGTCATATGAAAAAACAAAATTATTTAAGAAAAAGTATTATTTGCAGTAGTACTATATGAAAACAAAAATGTCCTTCATTTCTGTTCAGATTTAAAAGAGATTCATCACTGTTAATTCCAACTGTCCCTAAAATCCCACACAGCAAGACTGATAAATGATGGTTTGTACACGTGCTGCACGTGCAAAGAACATGACTCAAATAATGGGTTTTCACAGATCATCAAAATTCAAAAAACCAAATTTCAATTTCAATTTCTATTTAGATTTAAAATAATAGAATGGACCATGCAAAAGGGAACTGTTTTCATAATTGGACCCATTTACGGATGAGCTACAGAGTTGAATAATCAAACTGACATGCAAGATCTATAAAAATTTAAACTTGAAATTTTATATCGATATGATTTATTAGAATTTGAAAGGGATAGATTAACCTGTGAAATGAAAATTTATAATCTCGAGTTTATTTGGATTTGGATCAACTAATGCTAAAACGTTAATACTAACCAATTAGTTGGTCAACGTGAGATTCTTAATACTCTTCCTCAAATGCAATCGAGACTAGACATCTAGACGAGAGCCCGAATTGAAACACAGCAACTTACTTAGGTTTAGACCAACTAGTGCTAAAAAGTTAGTACTAACCGAGTTGCCACCCTTATGAATTTATTATTTAATTGATGTTGAATTCTTAATATAATTTAGGACGGACAGACAAAAGCGTCACTTTAGAAATACCAAAGTATATCCATTACATAACTTTTGTTTGATATATTTTAGACTTTGATATCCATACATATCATATCACTTCTTTTGAAGCAACTGGAAGTTTTCACTTTCACTTTGAGCTTGTGTTTCAAAAAGAAGAGCCCATCCTTGTCAATCCCTTGTAATGATCATTTTAACTTTTGAGTCAAAAATGCATAAGCAAGTAGGGCTATTATTCCAACATGATTGATTGCCTTTATATCTTTAATCTTTTTAGGCTTAAGTTCATGAATCAAATTGGAATGGGTTGAACCCTCTTTCTCTATGGTCACATGGAGTGGGGCTAACGTAACATCACAGTTTGGAGGCATAAAGGCTGCCTTTTCCATTGCTGTGGTTAACATCTATTATGGTTGGGCCAGGGCCCGGCCCAACATCAGGGCTATTATTATTATTTTTTAAATGGAAATTAGGGTTGTACTAATATAAATGTTGATCGAAATTAAGTCAATTTAGTTTGATTTTTAATACATAAGAACTTAATTTTTTTTTTCTAGGTCCTTTTGTTTTTTTATGAGACTCAACTTGGCAACTCCGCATATGTGAGACAAATAAATAATTTTTATTTTTCGAAATTAAATACAGACAATCATGTTTGTTTAAATAGTTATATTTTCAATTGTCAATAATTATTTTTTCTTGCCTGTAAATATACATTAAATTAGTTCAAATAAATCAAATATTCTTCTTCCTTTTTCTAAAATTTATGTGCAAAAAATTGCTATAAAAGTTATAAAAGGGAAGTTTTTCAAAATTGATGTCTGCAGATTTTTAAATTTTAGTTGTATCTTTTTTTAAAAAAAATATAAAATTTAGTTGTATAGTAGATGCTTTTATATTGCCTTAATTTTGTAGTAATAATACATGTAGGGAATGACAAAGAACTTTAACTGTGACTAAACCTCGAGCCGGATTAGGCGGTTCTAATAAGATCCAGATACAGGTGGTTTAAATAAAAAAACTTAAAAATAGTGTTCTAACGTCTAAAAGTCAACGGGAATTGAAGGAACTGAATTCTTAAAGTAATTAAAAAATAAACCTAACACAACAAAAAGCATTAGCAAATGCATTAAAATCACACACCTAAAAAAAAATCAGATACCCTGAACTCAATTCTAGCTGGATGAGAACGTAAATTCAATTATCGCAAAATTATACTTATTGAAAAAGTTAAAAAATATTTTACTCTATGTAATGAATAAGATTACATCACCTAATTATAGCAAAAAAATAGATACAACATTTCTATTTATTTTAATCGAGAGAGGTATCACAGTGCACCAATTAATTTAATAGACCCTCTACGTATGCCGATTAACATTTCATTTGATTATTCTCCAAAGACAAGAATAAAAAATTTTAGCACACTAAGATGATCTAGTGGTAAATACATATACGATATGACAATAAATTTATGTTCAAATCCTCTCTTTTAGTACTAAAAAAAAAGAATCAGAAATTTCAGGAGAAAAAAATTATTTACGATTGATATAAATGAGTTTAAAATTTGAAATTCGTTTACAAATCAACTTTAGATGAAATTACTTTTGTAAATGAATTTTTGCTGTTTGAAACAAATTTAAAAATAAAAATTTATTTTTTTATTTTCTAAAATACCTTTTATATATAATAATTTTAGAAGGTTAGGAGGATGAATAATTTTCGCCAAGTAGGAATTCATTCAAAAATTGAATCTCCGTAGAATTTGGTTCTTTTTCTTACCAAACATAAAAATATTTTTATGGAATTCACTTATTCTAAACAAGGTCAACTCTAAATTAATAATAATAATAATAATAATAATAATAATAATAATAATAATAGAAGAAGTTTGGTTGCCAATATATAATTTCTGAAAAGAGGTAATTAAGGGCTGCTAAGGACACCTGACTCTCAGATCTCAGATCTCAGATCTCCACGCTAACGACAACTCCGATTTTTCAAAAATTATAATTTTAGTCTTGTTTTAAAAATTGTAACTTGAGGCTCGTTCTACATATTAAATATATTTTGATTTGAATAATCAATTTTTTTTTTTTTTTAAATATAGTGCCGACTGCAACCAGGTGTATCATTGATTGTTTAAATAAATCGTATTTATTTGTTCGACGGCATCTAAACCTAATTTTTAGTATTGGGAAAGGAGATTCGAATATGAATTTATTGCTATTCGTATATACACTTATCACTAGACTATATATATTTTTTTAAATGACCACTAAATTATATTTTGGTACGCAGATTCACACCATTTTGTTTAATAAGTTGGAGGGATAAATTAAATACTATTTAACTCTTAAGATTTAACTCTAATTACTAATTCATTTTTCTTTTTCACTAAATATTTTAATTCATCCCTGAAATTTCAGTTCCGTTAAACTATTTGATCCTTCTACTAAAAAAAAATTACTGTTAAATTTCTTATAATATTTAACTATTTGGTCATTTTCATTTAATATAATAATATTATTTATTCCCTTATATTTATTATTGCCATCAACATTTAGGCAAAAATGATATTTTTTTTGCCTAAATAGTTTAATGAGTTCAGCCTCAAGGATGAATCAACATCTGAAAAGGAGGGACATAATAATAATAATTAAGGTCAACCCTCGAAAATTAAACAGTATTTATCCCTAAATGGAATCTCTTTCGTGCACTAATTTGAAATCAAAATAATATATTACTACATTTTGAATTAATTTTATGGGAAGGGACTAAATTAATTGTATTCATTGAATTTCAATTGCTTAATACAATAAAATTGTTTATTTTTATTAAATGTGAATTAGATAACTTTAATATTCAACTTTAGATAAATTTAATTTATATTTAAATATAAGTAAAGAAAAAAGAAAAAAGATTGACACAATAGCAGTGGATAAGAGAAAATCTTTTTTTGGACCTTCCATACCATCTTGGGTAACCCACTAAGATGGTTTTAGACATTTCACACTAAACTAGTATTTTCTTAACCACCAGCTCTCTCTTTCTCTCTAATTTTTTTAATTCTAATTTTAATTTGAAGTTGCTGTTGTATATCAGCATACCTTCTACTTTCTATTATTTCTTTCATTTCGACTTCTTTCATTTTAATAAACTCGGATTGTTTTTCTTATAATAGATATGTCTTTTTTGTTTTGTTATTATTGGTTTTCTCTATATTTGAAAATTTTTGTTCTCTTCTTTGTGAGGGTAGTTTCCTTTTTGTAAGTGTTTATTATTAATAAAATTATGATATTTGACTTTATTTGGTTGGAGACTTTAGATCTTGATTTAAATGTATGTATTTTCGATTGATGAAGCTTGATAGTGGGCATGTTCCTCCATTGACGCTGTTGACGCACAACGATGAAAACTCATCTGTATTTATTATATGATGCAAATTATTGGAAAAACAATCCAGTTATAAAATATTCAAAGGAGTTATTATTTTGACGTCCAAATTAATTTATGAACTAGTTGTTGCTGTAAAGATTTATATCTTTTGTCAATATTAACTCTAAGCGGAAATATCTAATATTATATTTTTTTTTAATTTTAGTTTCATTATACAAAATGATATGAATTCTTTTATTTCGTTAAAAGATCAGTGAACTCTATTAATTACTAATAGTAAAGTTCTTTGTCTAGTTTATATGCTCATTTGTAATTCTTAATATTATTATTAATGAATTGCATTTTTTTAAAAAAATTTTGTTAACCAAATGATAAAACATAAAAATGATTTATTAATTCCCAATTAAGATGGTTAAACTAATCTTTTGTTAACCAAATTATACAAAACCCAACAACATAAAAAAGATTTGTTAATTCCCATCTTTCTTTCCTTCACAATGTTATCCATTTTGATATGATTGTTTAATAAAATCCCTTAATAATTATATTAAAAGAAGAATTTTACCAATAATAAGACATTAAATATTGACTAATACATGATATAGTCTCTTATTAGTTCCTAAACTAATAATATAAAAAAATGATTTCATATATAACTTGTAAGATATGGCTAATATGATCATATCTTTTGTGATTGATTCTTTGGAATCAAATGATGTAAAAGGATGAATTGATTATCTTTTTTCCCCATTATTAATATGTGTTTAGACTTTCAATTCAAAACTTTAAAGTTTTGAAATAGTGAGTTAATCTTTAACTATACATATCCTCAGCTCATTCATCGGGTGATCCGGATTGACTCACAAAGGGATAAAATACTTTTAGCTAGTATTTACTCCATTCATGAGGATCAATCTCACTTAAAAGAGAAGAGTATTAATTTACTCATCACAACACTCTTTAGTTAGGTCCTCTCTATATTATCGGGTAGTTGAAAGTCATTGTAAATAACTAGTGTGTTAGGTTATTATTTAATAATAGATAGAGTTGACAAACAATATATTAATTATTGATAAAGTTTTCAAGTTAATTACTTGAAAACTTTCCTTGTATATTAATAAAACAAATTGTTGATAAAAAAAAAAAAGTTAGATGAGTATCCCAAGTAATTAAAATGCTACTATAATTATTAGTTAAATTTTTGTTTTTTTCTGGAAAAAAACAAATATTGTTAACTAAAATATAAAATCTAACTGAACGAGCCAAGATGGAACTAAATATATTCAAGCCTGTTTGAAAAAAAATTAATTATTTTAGTTGTTGTTAATTGTCCTAATAAATGTTAGATTAATGTTCAAAATCCGCACTAGTACAAATTTTAAGCCGCTGAACACTATAAATAATAAAATTAATATTTTGATTTTAATTAAAACACTAAATATTGTCTCAAAAGTTGTATAATATGACAAATCAAAACACTGGATGGTATGTGAAAAATGATTATTAAATAAATGCATTATACTTGCTCAGACAAGATCGGAATTTTGAAAAATTATTCATAGTTTATATATTTTTTTTTTCTAGTGTATGAACTTTCATATGTAAAAAGAACCCAAGCACCTATCCTTAAAAACAATTACATTTCTTATTTTTATTATGAAAATATTATATGATATATCTATATTATTTTATTTAACAATGAATTCTCAAATTTTTTTTCAAAAAATAAAAAATAAAAGTTTAAAGCATAGTGTCGGACAACGATTATAAATTGTCAGCAAATGAAATGCGTTGAAGTGAACAAAATTATATATTTTGTCAATCATGTCATGCCTTTCAAATTCTCTGTCGAATTATTTTTTACAATTTCATTTATATATAATATGTTAGATTTCTTTTTTTAATTAATGAAATTCTTTTTATTTTTCTTAGAAAAAAATCCACTCTATCCCTTCAAAAACACAAAAAATTAAATTAAGTAGTATTTTTTTTAGTAAATTAATAGTCCACGTCAACGTCAACGTCCACAGTCCAAACAACCTATTTTTTGTTCTTTTAACTTCAAACAACCGAACATCGGAACATGGTGCAAGTTGTGGAAAACGTGTTCTAATAAATTGATGATTCAGCAGAGCTACACGGGGCCCATAGCCTCCCCTGAATTTTTTTTTTAAGTTTTTTTTTTTTTTATATAAAAAATTACATTTTAATCTTTTAAAATATGAAAAATTTATATTTACTTTTCTAAAAATTTAAAAAATTTCGTTTTAACTTTCCAAAATAATTCTCTTAGCTCTGTCTCATCGAACCTGTGAACAGCTGCCTATAAATAACACATGAAAGGCCTTCAAAAGATAACGTTTACAACTTCCAAAATAGACATATCAGTTCTCATACACAGATCTCGTTTTCTTTTTCACCACCCTTTCGTAACCCAAAAACTACACATCCATGGACGCCGGAGCTCTCTCCAAAATCATCCACCTCAATCCAACGGCCCGCATGTTTTCCAAACCAAATCCTAATCGTCCATTCTTATCCACTGCTAAATCCATGGTATCTTTCGCCACCTCAAATAAGAATCACCAGTCCTACTGGACATCTATAAATGCAGACATTGATACTCATCTAAAGCAGGCCATACCAATCCGGCCGCCACTTGTTGTGTTCGAGCCTATGCATCATTTAACCTTCGCCGCTCCGGAAACCACTGCGCCGGCCTTGTGTATGGCTGCTTGTGAGCTAGTGGGTGGTCAACGTGATCAGGCAGTAGCGGCAGCTTCTGCTTTACATCTACTGCATGCTTCTGCTTTTACTCATGAGAATATCCCGGTGACGGACAGACCGCGGTCTAGTAGTCGGCCGGTGTTTGACCATGCTTATGAGCCGAACATCGAGCTTCTCACGGGGGATGGAATGACACCTTTCGCGTTCGAGTTATTGGCCCGGTTCGATAATCTGGCCCAAAATGATGCCGATCGGGTTTTACGGGTTATTATTGAGATCTCACGCGCTGTAGGTTCACAAGGTGTGGTAGAAGGGCAATATAATGAACTACGATATGATGAATCCAACGGTAAGAAATCATTCAACGCCGCGTGGCTTGATAATGTTTGCAGGAAGAAAGACGGTGAATTACACGCGTGTGCAGCTGCTTGTGGGGCAATATTAGGAGGTGGGAGTGAGGAGGAGATGGAGAAATTGAGGAGGTACGGGCTCTATGTTGGTATGATTGAAGGAATATTCAATAGGGGAGAAAGAAATGAAAAATGGTTACAAAAGGTAAATGAATTAAAGAATTTAGCTCTCAAAGAATTGAAAGATTTCAATCAAGAAAAGGTTAAAAAAATTTTTAGTCTTGTTGAGAATAAATTTAATAATGTTTGTGTATAAGATATTGAATTATTGGTACAAGAACTAGGGAGAGAGAGAGACATAGCCATGCAATTACATGTAAATTGGTATGTTTCTTTGTTTTATTTTTAAATTGTATACTTCTACTTATTTTCCCTTTTCTAAGCAATTGCATCTCACTAATCTCAAAGTTATATCACTAATGTGCCCCTTTATCTTAATTAGCAGTTAAATATATTATTGCTACTTGTTTGATACGAACACGACATCATCCATTTACTTAAAATGATTCAGAAAAATTGTATGTGATATACATTGTAATCATTAAGAAATTAGTCAAATTTCGAAAATTACTTACATTTTGCTTATTATTTCTAAAAACTAGAAAAGAGGGATTCATAGATTATGTTTTAAAAACTCAAATAATAGGTTTATTCATGAAATGAATTTTAGTGTTTTACATGTAGTTTCAGATTTGAGTTGTTTAATAAATAATTCAGCAAAATCAAATATAATAATATTAAGTTCGTATCATAGATCTAAATCAAATAATATTTATTTCCAAGTATTAGTTTAAGAGCAATGTTAAATGACTCAAGTTGAGTCACTTAATAATATTTTTTAATTTTATATTTACCTAGTTGCCTTTTACAATTAAAATATATATGATTTTGTCTGCGGTCATTATTTTTATTGGAAGAGTGATTTCTTTACGACTGCAATGATTGAAATCTTGTATGTTATATACTTGGTAAGTGTAGAATGTAAAAGATGGTAAAACAGTGATTCATTTTTCTTTGAATAAAAAAAGTGATTCAATTTGCAACTACAACAAAAATTTAAAATGTAAAAAGAGGATAATTGAAAATGGAGAACCCTAAAAGAGTGCAGTGGGTACCCGCTTTCAGAAGTACTTTGGATTGGCAACCAAAAATATTGTAAGGAAAATGATATTACGGGCTGTGTCGGCAGAAAAAAAAAAAAATAAAAAAAAAAGGAGAAAAGAGAAAAAATAAAAATAAAAATGACATGATCAGATGTTAAACTCGTGTTTCCATGCTAGGTGGCACACTCACATGTCCCTTAGACATGGGCTTGGGCCACTTAAATTATTGGTGTTGCCCTATTATGGGCCTATATAATAATATTAACCGTGTAAAGCGGTTCATAATTTAAGATAAAATCAACCTTTTTAATCTTTAACTTATTTCACCGTAGTAATTTTGGTTCGTTTATTTCTACTGAATTAAACGTTCATCAACCATACATTACTAGTGATAGATAGGGACCATAATGTAATTACAGTGAGGTTGATGTATCTTTCATGGATAACAACATTTAGCTATCTCTATTTATTCTTAAAAAAGAGAAAGTGCAATCTCAAAAAAAAAAAAAAAAAAAAAAAATTCTTAAAAAAGCAGAAAGTGCAATCTCAAAAAAAAAAAAATAAAAAAAAAAATGTGGAATAGCACCGATTGCTTTTAAATATTGTGAGCTGAGGCTCAATTTGTGTTTTAAGTTGATTATTTGGGTATAATTGGATTATATACTTTTAATGTCTATTAAAAAGTTAATACGTTAATCATTGTAGAGCATCTTTGAAGTGATGAGGGATTTCACAATGCGGTAGGTTTCAGGGCAATTTGGTCCTTGAACTTTGATAGACTTTTGCTTTGTCTTACCTTCAAATCTTTGTACCATTTTCTTGCAATTTGATTGAAAAGGGAAGAATGAGACCAAGTTCTTCATTTGTTCCAGCATTTGTACCAAACCCAATCTTGCACCGTGCCAACATCAAAAATCCTATTCGGATCTAACCTTAATAATTGCGTGAATATATGTCGTTTTAAACTCAAAACTTCCCACGTTCAACTATTCATTGTCTTCTTGATATTGTCTCCATGATATTCTTGATTTCAAAACCACGTGATCCTTATGGAGAGGCCTAAACCAATTTTAGAAAGTCGCAACCGAAGATGCCAGAATCAAGTTTTAATTTTAAAGAAAAATATAAAATTTTCAAGGAATAAATAATAAATAAATTTAAATATTGCAATGTAAATAAATGGATTAAGAATAGAACAAGCATAATAGAAAATAAAAATTATATTAAGGTGTACCTTTAACGATCTTATTGTTTCGAGATACTTTAAATTTGGTTAAACTATAATAAAATAGTTAAGAGGTATGGAAAATATATGTACCGGAGGAAACCACCAAATGACACAATTGCTTATTAATTGTATTTTTTTTGATTTTATTTAAGGATCTTATATACTAATTTTAGTAAGGGACAATCTTCTAGTAATATTAGATGTTTTTTGGATTATACTGAGTTGGATCTTAGTTTTTAAAATCCATAAGATTTTTCAAAAATTCTAAATAAATATGTTATCCTTAAGTCAAAGATTCATTATTTAAATTATATCAAACTTTTTTTTCTTTTTTTTGGATACTAGGGGGAAGGGGAAGGGGATCGAATAATCTATTGTACAGGTCATGACTATATGTCAACATCATACATGTTCTTCTATTTAGAATATGCTTGGTGTGGCAATTATATAAACTTGGTGCACACAACTCATTTGGCCTCAAAGAAAAAAAAAAAAAAAAATCAAAAAGTAGAATTTTCTCAAAGAGTTTGTTCTACCATTTTTAGGTAAGGAAGGACAACATTTGGCATCAACTATTTTCCACTTCATAAGTGGAAAGCAAACATAACTCGAAAGCTCAATCAAAACCATAGCTAATTTTACAACATTAAATGCTCATAAGTCCTTTATAACATAAAAAGGGATAACAAATACTCCACTAATACCTACAACATAAAGCCAGGAATCACCAAGAAGCAATTCAAAACCCTAGTACATACATATTTCTAAGTACAAAAATTTGGTAAAATCACTGACATAACTTACAGTATCATTTTGGACAATTTGCGAGTACCTGAACTAGTTCTATGGGGATTCAAGAATAACCAGTTTTGGTCAAACACGCAATTTCTAACTACACTAAGCATCCCTTCCTTAAGTTTCCTGCTACACCTTCAAAATCAAGAAAAATGTAGGAAATCTGACTTCTCTTGCAAGCTTCTTAGCAAATAAGCTCATTGAGGAGGCAATTTAATAATAAAGGATCATTATCTTCACCTTCATTTCATTCACCACTATCTCCATTCAAAACTCCATTTAGTTGTACTATCATTATATCACCATCATCTTCATGATTGCATCACCATCATTATCATCCACCACATATAATCAGCATGAAATAGTATTCTTGGAAGAGTTTTTCTTTGATTTTCTTTTGCAAATCCTTGGAACCAATCAGGAATGTTGCTGGTAGACTCAAGATCTGTGCTTGGACTAATTTGGTTTCATTAGAAGAATGGCTGCTACTGGCCTGCCACTACTAGTAGCTCTTGGATCATTCTTGAAGCAGAAGGGATGATTCTTCTTGGAAACAGAAAAATGAAGATCTACGTGATTGCCAAATCTTGGAATTTGAATTCCTTTCTTTCGTCTTACAGAACATCAAACATCCTTCCTTCAACATCGTCCCATCTCTTTAAGATCTCATACACCATTCCTTGTCTCGTCTAAACTCATACCATTCTTCCATTGATATTTACAATGCCTCCACAACAAAATTCAAATAATGCAACATAATAAATTTGAGAGCTCCATATGGGTATTCCCAAAAAATTTCATAATTCCAAGGAAGTGCAATCTAAAAAAAAAAAAAAGAGAAGTGTTTTTCCAAAGTTAAATATTGGGTAATCCTACAAGCAAAATTTTAGTTAGGAAAACCAAATATATCCTTTTCCTTGGATTATGGAGCTCTTTAAACTCACCAACTCTGGCATATTGCAAAAATGCAAAGGAAATTCAATTAAAAAGAGAGATTCAAGAAAATTTTTTTTACACATTTACAGATTAAGACAAAGAAAAAGAAAATGATTGATTCAAGAGAATCCAGTGCCTTTATTTTCATTCCAAATTCTTAGTCTTGGTACTGGGGCAAAGTTTGAGAAGAATTTCAACGATGGATGGCCTTTTTAGAAGAGCCCAAAAATTGCCCAAAAGGAGAGAAGGGAGGGGCATGAAAAGGCCAGAACAAATGAAGACAAACCTTAATTTCTGTTTGTCTTTTATAACTCTCTCTCCTCCAGGCTGTTAGTAATTGAATGGGTATGCCACTTGAAAGTCTCAATTTGACAACGAGAAATGCAAAATACAGATAATATACAAGTTTTTTTTTTTTTTTTTTTTTTTTCGGTTGTTTTTTAACTCATGCCCATTTTCCAATTGCCTTTTAAGATTTTTAACAATCAGATCATCATACCACTCTCTCTACCCCCTTTTCTTTTTCATCTTTACATAGATTAAACCCCAAATAAGTCTACATTTAAATGTTCCATATAAAGGTCCCTCCTATCGGGCAACTTGAAATATGTTTTTATAGTTTCTCGCTTATCTTTGATAAACGAGTAAAATTAATTGTGAAATATCTAAATTTAATTTTAGTTACGATTATTTATATTTATTATAACTGAGGGAAATTCAAAACCTTCCTAGTTATATTTACAGTGACGAATTGAGAGAGTTAAATAATCTTTGAATTGGTAACATATTAAACCGATTAAACATACACCATAACGACTTTCCCCATGACATAAAATAAAAAAGTTGCAATGAAAAGCAAATGTATACATTGATTCAAATTCAACCATCCACAAAACAAAACCATATGAGCCATTGTTTGATGAAATGGAGAGATGAGTGGTTTGATGATGAAAATGATGCTATTTGCTTTAACAGTTAGTCCCACTAAGATATGAGAAAAATAGAAGCATAATAAAAGAGGTCTTAATGTGGTCATTTCATTTTATTTAACCTTCCAAATTTGACTGATTCAATAAATCATAATGATTGAGAATGAAACCACGTTTCTAATTAACCCACATTTGGCAATTCCTTGGCTATTTTTGTATTTCCATATCTATAGTACCCTCTTCCTTGTGGCAGCCACGTGTCACGATGCCAATTTTACTTATCAGCAGTAGCAAAAAGAGTTGTTTCAAGATATATAAAGTTTAAATCTTGCAATTGGAGTAAAATTTGTACCAGTTAAAGATAAGATTAAAAAGAATCTTACCGTTTTGGGTTTTGTTGGAAACCTTCAAAATGAGTGAAAATC